CAGTAATGTTCTTTGACAAACATGGATGCCTCCAGTGAAGAACATTCAAATGGAAAATACTTAAAAAAAAAAAAAAAAAAAAAGTTCACAGCACAAAAGAATTCCATAGAATCCCTATGCAAACCCATAAAGAGGGGAACTTTCCTGCAGTTTCAGAGATTTTAATTATAGAAATGGATTGAATAGATCTGCTTCTTTAATTGGGCCCGCCTCATTTAAAATGGTCTCTAATATCAGACCCAATGCAGATATTAGCAGCTGATCAGTGCAGCTCTATAAAAGAGCAGGCAGACACTGACCGGTTCTTTGTTCTCTTCATCTTTCTCCCACAGCGAGTTTGGATCAAAGATCGTGACCCTGAAGCCAGTAGTGAAAGTTTTACCCAAACAGTTTGAGTCCAGAGAGAAAGCTGTGAGAGATGAGGCCAAGCAGCTAGCCATTGAAATCTACAAGTGGATCAGAGACGCTCTGAGGCCGCCACTGCAGAATATAAACCCAGTACAGGTGAGATAGCGCAGCACTGCACACGGCTGCTGACAGAGAGCAGGTAATCATGTCTGCTTTCCCTGTTCCTGCAGCTGAAGGAGCTGGAGGAGGAGTGGGTGAAGCTGCCGTCCTCCCCTCCCAAGCAGACCAGGTTCCTTCGCTCTCAGCAGGACCTGAAAGCAAAGTTTGAGCAGCAACAAGCTCAGGGAGAGCAGTCTGATGGTGAGGCTGGCTGACCGTCTCCAAGTACCAGCTTTTCTGTTTGGTGCCAAAAATCACAGACTCTCTTGTCCTTATTTCAGGAGATGAGGAAGAAGAAGTGGCAGCAGCTGTGGATCCGTACGATCTGCTGGAACCTGTGGAGATTCTTTCAAAATTGCCCAAAGACTTCTATGATAAAATCGTGAGTTTGACACGTTTGGGCTATTTATAAACGTTAAGCTCTCCTGTCTGCTGCCCTTTAAAAAGGCTCCACTCATTAAAATCAGTGATTGTTTACTGGTAGTTCCAAAGGGAACAATTTGTACAGACTGTGGTAACGATGATCTCTGGGAATGATGTCTGCAGGAAGCCAAGAAGTGGCAGGAAAGAAAAGAAGCTCTTGAAGCTGTTGAAGCTCTGACAAAGAACCCCAAACTGGAGAACGGAGACTATGGAGACCTGGTCCGAGCCTTGAAGAAGGTAAACTCCTCACCCCTTTAAATCTTCTTCTTTTATTTTAGGTGTAGGAGAAGACCTCTGAGCTCCACGGGTTCTGTTTGAGGCCCTGATCCGGTGTCAGGTTGTAGATCTGGGTCACGATGAAGGCGTCTGGGTGAAATCGGTTTCTGCACTTTGCCCCTGATCTCTGAAACAGAACCAGACTCGCTGGTCTTATTAGCTTTGAGCCATAAAGGCTACAAAGATTTAAGGATGAAATTAGCCCATCATCAGGGAAGATACACCTGAGGAATACTTACTCCTTCTTCACCAGCAGTTCAGGAACCAGCAGTTCCAGCAGAACTCCTGTTTCTCTGGGCCCTGATTGGTTCTGACAGATCCAGCAGCTGTTGGTTTGGATCGGTCCCGCTGACCTTGGCTGAGGTTCAATGGTTTCTCTGTTGCAGGTTGTGGGGAAAGATGCGAACGTGATGCTGGTTTCCGTGGCGGCCAAATGTCTGGCTGGACTGGCCTCTGGTCTCAGGAAGAAGTTCGGGACATACGCTGGACAAGTAAGGGAGTCTCTCTCTGAGTTTTCAGGTTTCTTTCAGCTCCGCCCCCTTTAGTCGCTTCCTGTAAGCTGAGACTGATTATTTTCAGGTTGTTCCAACGATCCTGGAGAAATTTAAGGAGAAGAAACCGCAGGTTGTCCAGGCCCTGCAGGAGGCCATCGATGCCATATTCCTCACTGTGAGTGCAGATGCATTTTTACACAAAGAATCCATTATGTTTGGATAAAAAAATGACAAACTTTTAGATACCAGGCTGTGCATTTATGTTGATATTGAATCCAATAACTTTGGGAACGTCATGTCCAACTGGCTGCTGTTCAGACAACATTGAGCTCGAAGCATGGTCACATGTCATTTTGATGGAAGTTGTGAATTTATTCCATAAGTGTGCAGAGTAAACCGACCATGGTTGGAGCTCGATTCCTCTATTGTCTGAACAGACGGTTGCTTCACAGAACAGATGGAATTCAGTAGTAGAAGCCTCATTAGACATTTGAACCGTTTGGCCAACTTGCTCCAACGATCCCCACAGCTTCATGTTGCAATTGTTTTTCCTGTTTGTTTTTTTTTTTTTTTTCCACATTTAAGTTCCTTTGAAATCGTTAATGATTGGTGTGTGTATCATATCTTTTTAAAGTAAATTGTCTGTACACTGTTTGTCTCAAGCAGATGGTGAAAGTGCTTGTGCAAATTGGGCAACGATGAGCAAAATGAAAGGTGTTGTTTTCCACATTTTTTGGTTTTAATCTGGTTGGAAGTTATGTGTTCAACCATTCTTTTGGCTCAACCAACCAATCTAATTAGGCAGTGTTTTTATCCAATCCATATTTATACAAGGGCAAACCAGTACAAGTGTTGGTCACATGACATGAGCCAAAATACTTGCGCTTCATCGCAACCTTCAAAAATCTGAAGTGGGTCTCGAACCAACAACCTCAGGAATGGAAGTCAATGTCTTACAGCTGATTCCACTAGCAATGGTAACTACACATTGGAAAGCAATACTACTTAACACTAAGTTAAGAACCGTGACCAGTGGTTTGCTCAGATTTAATCTAACCAAAATTCTCAGAACGTTTTAAAGCGTTTACAAATAATAATACAGAATGCATGAAAATTCCACCGGTAAAATGTTTACCAATATAGACATGTTAGACATCGTTGGAAAGCTTTGATTCTCCACAATTGAACCACCAAGATAATTTTATGAACATAGCGAGCACCAAAGCCCAATTAACAGATATAGCAGCATGTCAAACTGTAACCATGACAAAGCAGCCACAACAATCAAGCATGTCTTTATTACTGCTGTTCAAAAAATACCTATTATTTTTGAGAATAGAAAAACAACATTGAATCAGTTTGAACTGATACAGCTTGGGCTGTGTTCTACTCTTTATTTGATACCCAAATTTGATTTATTTGCTTTTGCATTTCTGTATGCAAAATAGAGAATTTCCCAAAATGAGGTTGATGTTACCAAAAAACAACCAATCTATTCTTTGAATCTATCCAACTGACCGTGACTCTCCTACAAACTCCCACATCTTGACTGAACACAGGCTGTCTAAATGCCTGCTGAAGTTCCCAGCGAGCTGAACCACTTCCCGAAGCGATCACGTGGTAACGAGGCTTCGGACGTCATGTATTTGGCCTCTATCCCAAATGAAGCATGCCTCAATACGCGCCTCATGGAAACGCCCCCCTCCAGTACTCGACACACGCCTCGTAGCCTAGGCTCATCTCCTAACATCACTAGAAACCAGAACTTTGATTTGACCATGAGGTGAAAAACACTCTGTTTAAAATCCATCAGCCTGCGTCTGGAAGATGCCCACCAAAACCTGTTTATGGAGCAAATCTGACTCCAACTGATTCACTTCTAATTCTCTGCATTCTGTAAAGATGACCATTAATACCATCTGCTGGGTTTACTAAAGCATTTCCATGGTGTGTTTTCATGTCTTTACTCTATGGGCCGGATTTATCCAGATCCAATTTTGCGTGCAGTAATTTGCGCTCGCAAACTGGAATTTTGCGCGAGGGGCTGAAC